TGGCTATGGTTGCACAACTTGTATTGGGAATTCAGGAGAACTTGATGATTCAGTAACATCTGCAATTTCAGAAAATGGTACACTATGAAATGATTGATATTCCTCTCTTTTTCAGCATCTTCAGTACATGCTAAGTTGCTAAATATTACGTGTTCTTTCCAAATCAAGTGGCTTTGGTCTTTTTTAACTACCATCAACTTAGAAAGCCGGTTTAAGATACAACATATATTTAATTTTCATCTTTTATCTTAATCACCTCTTCTTCGGTTTGATTCAGTTTTTCCAACATGTGCAGACATTATTGCTGCATCTGTTCTTTCTGGAAACCGAAATTTTGAAGGTCGAATTCATCCATTAGCAAGAGCTAACTACCTTGCTTCTCCTCCATTAGTTGTTGCCTATGCGCTTGCTGGCACGGTTTGTTTGTGTCCTTTTGCTTCCCTGATTTAACAGTTTCAAATGTAATTTAGACACATTTTCAACATTGAAGATAAGAGATAATTATAAAAACTAAAAATCTATGGCATACTTGAAAATTTAACTACACTCGCCAACTAATACCTGACGATGATTGGCATGGAGATGGAGCAATTCTTCTTAGAGTTTAACACGTAGCTGTGTTGGATGAAGCTCCAAACTGATGTAGAATCAGTAGTTTCATTCCTTGGAAAAATATGCTTTGTAAAGTTTATGAGGTTTATTTACACAATGCTCTACTAACTTCAAACATCCTTGTCCATGTCAAGTAAGTAGTAAACAACTGAAAGCTTTCATATGCTTATTTTTTAAACATTTTTTTCCCTTTTTCTGTTTCCATTTCAGGTTGACATTGATTTCAACGAAGAACCAATAGGAACAGGAAAGAATGGAAAGGATGTATACCTAAAAGATATTTGGCCTAGCAATGAAGAGATCTCAGAGGTAGAAAGGAAACATAAAGTTTAAGGCATGAGATTAATGTAACAATTGTTATTTTACTCTAAAGTCTACATCTAATTAATTAACTTATGATAAGTATTTCTTCTTATTCGTGAATAGGCCCTTCAAACTTATGTATTACCTGGCATGTTCAAGAGCATTTATGAAGCTATTACAAGGGGCAACCCAATGTGGGATCAACTTTCAATTCCTGCATCCACTATGTACAAATGGGATCCAAATTCCACATACATTCATGAGCCTCCTTATTTTAAGAACATGACTATGGAGCCACCTGGTCTTCAGGGGATAAAGGATTGCTATTGCTTGCTCTACTTTGGAGATGGTGTTACCACAGATCATATTTCTCCCCCTGGCAGAATACACAAGGATAGTGCTGCTGCAAAGTACTTGCTTGACCATGGTGTGGATTACAAAGACTTCAATTCTTATGGTAGTCGTAGGGGAAATGATGAAGTGATGGTAAGAGGCACATTTGCCAATATCCGTCTTGTGAACAAACTTCTCAATGGAGAAGTGGCTCCAAAAACTATTCACATTCCAACAGGAGAAAAATTGACTGTGTATGATGCAGCAATGGTGAGTATCAATGATTTAATATATGGATAATCTTTAATTACATGTGACTGAATGAAAAATATTTTTATCTATATCACCTTGACACATCAGTAACTAGGATGATAAGCAATGGTACTTACATATTTAATACCTCAAATATCAATAAACAAGAATAATTGAATCAGGGGCACTTGTTGAATTGGATTTTCATATGGTAAATTGAGGTCTACTTTATAGACTACTGATTTTAGGAAGCTTTGATAAATGATAATAAATCAAATATGTATACCCTTTTATTTTCACCATTTTCTTTCTCAATGGTTTTATTTGAATTGTATGTTAAGTGTCCATTTATTGAAGTTCCATATGCAAATTTATGTGCATAATAAGATTTTGTCTATGCTTTATAGAAGTATAAGGCCGCTGGCCATGACACCATTATCTTGGCTGGAGCAGACTATGGAACAGGAAGCTCTCGAGATTGGGCTGCCAAGGGTCCTCTGCTACTTGTGAGCTCACAAATGACAAAATGAAATTTTATTACATTTATCAGTTTCACTATCATCAACCCTTAAGATTGATTTGAAGTCTATAACAATAGTAAATTTTAATTAAATATGAAAATGCTTATTATATCCTTGAATTTTAAATATAATGGATATTTATGTTTTTAATAAAATCTTACTACTTATTTAGATGCTTAAAATTATTTCTTATGTTAATATTTTCTTATATTTATGCATGCTTCCTTGTTTCACAAATCTTTTTTTCTCTATAGGGGGTGAAAGCAGTGATTGCTAAGAGCTTTGAGAGAATTCATCGGGGTAATCTTGTTGGGATGGGGATCATTCCTCTCTGCTTCAATCCTGGTGATGATGCAGAAACACTACAATTGACAGGTCATGAGATTTTCACAGTTGACCTTCCAGCAAAAGTTGGTGACATAGAACCTCGTCAAGATGTTATTGTCAACGCTGACACTGCCAAATCTTTTACATGCAAGCTTTGCCTTGATACAAAGGTAACTATTTTATATTTAAGAAAGTTTGTGTCTGATTGAATTCACATTCACACGAGTTTAACATAGTTTTAATTGATTTCCAAAAACACATAAAAAATTAATAAAAAAAAATGATATATAATATTTTATGAAAGATATTAGCACGGTATTTGTTTTAATATTATTTTAAAGAATGAAATTTATATTAATTTGAAGGTTTTTAATAAATTTTACCTAATTTAGAAAAAAGGGGTGTTAGGTGTACACACAGTGATTTGATCCTTAAAAGCTCAATTTACAGGTGGAGGTGGCATATGTTGATCATGGTGGTATCCTTCCGTATGTTATCCGCAACTTGACTAAGCAATGAGCTTTTATTTCTTTTGGGCTTTGTGCATTCACTTCTAGTGAGATATAATATATTCCATTTTAGATTTTTCTTCAAGCATGGATCTGAGTGTACAGTGTTCAGTTCTTATTTCTTATGGCAAATCACTGGTTTTATGCATGCCATGTTTAATTTTCTTTTTGTTTTATCCATTAACACTTCACTCTGCTACAAATCTGTTTATCTCAATTATTTTATTACACGCAATTTATTTATTTTTATTTACTAACGTGTGCATAAGATAGAAGTGTGCTAATGGTATAAATGTATGATGCCATGCAAATTTAGAACCTAGCAAAGTGAAAATGTCTATAGACATAATCTGTTCATTCAAGAGTGGGCAAGAATACATAATTATTCGAAACACTAAAAGCTATTAAATATTTGTAAACATAAGAAAGATTTTGTCTTTATAAGCACACAATTTGTTTTGAAATATTCAACAATTCAAAGGATTTATTTCAGTGCAATTTGCAAAATCTCCTTGATTTTTAACATGAAACATATTTCCTTGCATTTCAAAACTTACGAGTTATAAATGAAAGGTGTAAGTTTTCATTTCAATTATTTTATATTTTATACTTGATGTTGTCAATTCAGTATGCTAATGCTATGAAAAGAAAAATGAAGCATAGTTATAAAGTATTTATATAATTTTTTAAAAAAAATTGTCTTGATAAAGATAATTAATAAGTGTAATTTATATCAATAATGTAGCGATTGACGTACTGCCTAATTCTAAAATATTAACTATATAAAATTTATTATCAACATACTACATATTATATTATTTTTAATTGTTGAAATAACAAAATTATATCAACAATCAAGCTTTGTGACATAAAAAAAGCCAGCTTGATGTGGAAAATAGCTTATGGCAGGGGCATCTAGAATTTTTTGAATGGTTGTAAGGAGCTGCAAAACTTAGTACGTTGGCAGTCTCCTCTGGATAAGCAATTCAAATTAAATTCTGACAATTTAATTGTTCAAAGTACTGGAATGGTAAGCTGTGAGGGACTTATCCGTGATCATAATGCTACATTTGTAGCGAATTTTTACCATCTTCTTCCTTTGTATACTCCTATTTGTGCTAAGCTTTGGGGTATTCTAAAGGGCCTTGAATTGATCATTATCAAGAATATTAATATTATTTGGGTTAAATGTGATTTCAAAGATGTTATTTTTTTTATTATTAACCTTCAAACCTTTGTATTTTGTAATTAACGAAATTAGATTATTACTTAAAAAAATTAAATTTGTTAAGTTTAATTATATTTTAAGAGAAACTAACTAATGTGCTGATTAGTTGACTAAATATAGTTATGAGAAGGAAGAAACGCCTTATAGGTTTGATTCAGCCCCTGAATCTTTAGCCTTTTTGTTAAGGTTGGATTTTCTAAGATCTTTTTAGTCTAAGTTTTGTTTTATTTTTTGGGCCTTTGATTCCCCCTTTTCAGCAGGAAAAAAAAAGAAAAAAGCCAGCTTGCATAGCTGGATTTTCTTAATTTTTCTCTTGCTTTTTTTGCGGCCTTTCATAGCTCCCAAGAATAATGCAAATTTGTTTTATAACATTTCTTATAAACTAAAAACATTAACTAAAAATAATTGCATTATAAAACATTATTTCATCGTTGAAGTGCCAAAAGCAAGATCAAATAAGAGAAATATGGGATTTTAGAATTCTCTTTAACTTTAAGCAAAAGTTCTATATTAACTCTGTCATAAACTTTGTTCTGAACAAGGCATTTTTAACAATTAGTTATTATTATAAGTAATTAAAAAAGCGATTTTAAGATAATTTAGTTTGTTGGTATCTTTTAAAATTATATAGTTGTATATAATAATTGATTTTATATTTAAAATATTTATTTATTGGAAATAAACTAAAAATATAAAATTTAACCAAAAATAATAAAATGTATCTTGAAATTGAAAAATCATGTAATGTTTTTATTCAATTTCTTTTATAAAAACACGAAACTCACTTTTGAAATCAAATTTACAATCTAAATTATGAGAAAAGGAAAAGCAATATGCTTGCAGTTTATTATTTAGAAATTCTCCTATTATTTTACTTAACATATTATATATATATATATATATATAGGTTGGCAAGGAAAAGTAAAGTGGAAAAATGACGGGAAAGAGAGTTTGAGTGTTTCTGAATTTGGTGTGTGGCGTTCCAAAAGCATAAGAGAAGATGCCCTCAGCTCAAGATCCATTCTACGTTGTGAAGGAGGAGATTCAAGATTCTGTAAGTGCTGTGGTCTCTCTTTTTCCCCCCAATTACCCACCTTTCTTTTTCGCTCGATTTTGGAATTTTTATTTTATTTCAAAATTTACGTTTTTCCAAACCACCTATATCTGATTATGCTATTTTTGCATGCAAATTTTTGATTTTGAAGAAAACCAGTTGCGATCTGTGACTGTGGATATCAGTAATTGGAGCAGAAAGAAATGGGGTTGTTATGTTAGTGGGTGTATGATTTTTATTTTTTGGCTGATTAATTTTAATTTTGTGCTAAGATTGATAAGCTGCAATCTACTTTTCACCAATGGGAAAACACTGCTGATTCTGGGGAGCGATCAAATCTTTCAAAGGAAGTTCTTGCTGCTAGTGAAAGTATTGAATGGCAGGTATACCTTTGTATTTGTGGAACCAGTGACAAGTAGGTTTGTAAACTACCATCATTTGCATGTATGTTTGCTTTATAAGTACAATTCAGGTCAGAGGGAGGGAGTAACCTTTCCTTGTGGATTTGCATTTAACCGTCCCAAGATCCTTCTAACATATGTTTCTATTTTTGTTTAAGTACATGCAGAAATTTTGTAAATTCCCGCTAAATATCAGTGTTGAGTTGTAATGTCAACATAAGAGCTTATTAGTCAATAGTAAAATGCAAAAATGTGTTAGATTCAGGTATTTCCATTCACCACTCCATTTCCCGGCAAGCAAAATCATTATTATCCTCCCTTCCCTTTTGCTATTTTTTTAAAATTTGATTGGATTCAGTCCCTTTGGGTGTGCTAGCCTGCTAGGAGGGGAGTAAAAATGGAGTGAGGGGGAAATCTTTTGATTTTCAATCTTTATTGTTTGTTAGAGAGTGGAAAACAGATAGAAAGTTACTTACAGCTTAATCTATTAAGAATCTGTACTCTCTCTGTCACACATCTTAAACTATTGTTTTTTCTTGTACAACGCAACTTATGCAAATTGCTGAAATATGATTTTTTTGATAGAAAGGTGGATGAATTGGACAAAGCAATCGCTGTAGCTTCTAGAGATCCTTCTTGGTATGGCATTGATGAAGTGGAGCTTGAAAGCCGGAGGAGGTGGACCAGTGATGCTCGCACCCAGGTATCCATAATGTGCTGAACTTTAGTAAGAGAGGCGAACACAGTCAATTTTTTTCTCAACCTAATGTACAGTTGTTCATTTAGACTTTTTTTTTTTTTACGGGTAAGTAACTACATGTTAGATTCCCTTTTGTTTTTTTATCTGCATGGATTTGTAAATGATTGTAGCACACTATTAGGTGAGCACAGTGAAGAAAGCAGTGGAAGTTAGAAAGGGCTCAAATACAACAGAGCATGCTAGTGTAAATGGGATGCACAGGGAATTAATGAGGCTTCCTAATTCTCATCAAACTACATCCGACCAATATGCTGCCCAAGATAATGATGATTTCATAGAATCAGAATCGGATAGGCAAATGCTTCTTATAAAGTACTTCTTTCCTCCCTTTCTTTCTCTTTCATATGGCATTGATATAATTATTTGTCTTTCATCTTGCTTTTAATTGATTCTGTGTACATCTTCATGAGATTAAACTCATTGACAGTCACTTTTGTATACAAGGTGGAAAATATTTTTTCGTAGTTAGTTTGACCTCTTAAGTTGATTGAATTATGTTGTTCACTCCTCCCTTGTTCTTTCTGAGACATAAGTGGGCTTCTGTGTACAAGCGTGAAATTAAGAAGACATGAACATATGTTTTTTGTGTTGATCTATTAATTATAAATTTCTGTGTCTTGATATCATCTTTGGTAATTATTAGAATTTTGTATGGATCTACCATTATTATTAAACAAGACATCATAACTAACTAAAATTATGGATTCCATTTTTCTTTCCCATGAAAGAAAGAGAAAATGGGGGAAAATAGAATAAAGACTGTGGCTGGTGACCTTAACTGGAAAATACAATGCTCTAGAGTTCTGGGAAAACAATCAACATCTGGTTTAAGTTTTATTTTCTTTTATTTTTATCTGTTGGTGCTGATAGGAAACAGGATGAGGAGTTGGATGAGCTTAGTTTAAGTGTACAAAGAATTGGAGGTGTTGGGCTTACAATACATGACGAGCTCCTTGCACAGGTAGATTTGACATTTGAGAAGTTTTTTGTTTTGTGATTCTTAATAATTTGCTTAGAGGGTGAGCTTAGTTGCAGCCTTCTGAGTTGGAGGTTTTTGGTTCAAATTCTAGTGATAGTTTTTCACTTCTATCCTCCCCAAGCTGTCCTTTTATTCTTAGTATTTTGTTTCAATAGAAGTTGTGTTTTCATGCTTGATTTGCTTCTGTGGGAAATTTTTACCATTCTAAAATGGTCAAAACCTTGATGCTTCAGGAAAAGATTGTCGATGAACTTGGTAATGACATGGACAGTACATCTAATCGTCTAGATTTTGTCCAAGTGAGTTTCTGCTTCTAGTTTCCATTATCTCATTCAAGTGTTTATTTTATGATCGCCTATCAATAGTTATAAAGGGTATAAAATTTGAATGTTGATTCTTCTAGATTTTAAACTCTTATTAATTAACTGTATGATCACTTATTAATTAATTAATTAGGATTTACCCTTAAGTAGTCAATTCAAAAATAATAATAACATAAAAAAAAATTATAATTGACAAATAACATTAATATTATAAAATCAAACTAAAATTAAAAAAAACTTACATTACAAGAATCTACCTCAATCCCATGACGAGGTATTTAGTTATACATAGTTGTAAAGGTAAAAACAAATATAACTAAAAACAAAACATTCATAATAATAAATATTAAAGAAAGAAAAACTCTCATGGCTGATCTTCAGCTCTGGCAGAAGCACAATGGAGAGATGGAGAGAAGGAGTGGTTGAGTGCCTAATATCAAGTGTGTAAGATCTTTTATATAGTGTCAAATAAAAAAAAATGATTTGACTTCAAAAAAGATATGATTTATCCTCAATAAGATATGTTTTATCCATAAAAAAGATACTACTTATCTATAAAGAAATACATGAGTTTCTGTTGTCAAGCAAATTTAATATTCAAAATTCCAAATTTAAAATTCAGATTTATAATCATTGTTTACTCATTTTAACAACTTTTCTTCATGATTTAACTTTTTTTAACAAAATTGTATTTTTATCACTTTTGATGGGAAAATCAAGAGAAACTTAGTTAATTTAAATAATAAAATAGCATTTTCAATGAAAAATAGGTTAAAATCTCATTGATAAGTGTAGAACGACAATTCATCATTAAGATGTGTTCCTTTGCTTATGATTTCAGAAAAAAGTGGCAATGGTCATGAAGAAGGCTAGTGCAAAGGGTCAAATCATGATGATATTGGGTTTGCTGGCGTTGTTCATTTTCCTCTTTATTTTGGTATTCTTTACCTAGTCATTTAGATGAGCCCTATCAATGCTCTGCTTGTTTGTACATGAAAAAGAAAGTTTTTGTGAAGATACAATATTAATGGAACATTCGATATGTCTAAATCAAATGGAAGCATCTTTGGCTTGTTGGAGGCAGTAGAAAATTTGATGATGATGAAAGGGATGAAATGTGAAAATATCTGAAGAGGATCTTGATTCTGAATAAGATGGATCGCAAATATGATTGAGCTTTGTTGTATTCGTTTTTAAGATGTTTTACTTTTGCATCTAACGTTTGATGTCGTTTTCTCTTTTTAAAACGACAGAAAGGAGTTTTGAATTTGTAGTTTCATGGCTGAACCAAAATAGCTTATGATCAATCTTTTGCAAATCTACCCATTATTTACCTGTTCACTCCTAGTGGCATCATGATTTTGTCTGTTACTGTTTTGGAATAATTTTGATGCAATTGATGAAAGAAGAAAAATATTTTATCTTGTGTTAATTTACATGCTAATTTAGCAACTGTGTTACAGTTACTTTATAGTTGCCCTTGACAGATGACATATTTTGGTTGGAGAGTTGATTAAATAGCCATTTTCAAGAATTAAATCAACACATGTATATACATTTACGCTAAATATATGTCTTTATATTATCTAATAATTTAAGATTTCATGAAATGTCAAATTTATTAAAAGACGTGATATTAAATAATACTATTATTTTTCATATTGACAGTGCATAATATACTTTTTAAAACGCATAAGCTTTGATAAAATAGTTGTTTAGAAATAGAGTTTGACGTGTATGTAAATTGTACAAAAGGGGTACTGTTTACTAATTTAAGACTGCTTATTTTTCTATTCTAGACGTGCATGGTCTTTAATGTTTGCATCATTTCTTTTACCAATAGCCTTGAGTTTTTATTGTTTTTCAATATTTAATTTTTATAAAAGTGTTTAACATATTTTGAAAATTAAATTACATCATTTCTCTTTCCTCAAGAATGTCTATCAAGCTCATTCGTTAGGAATGTTTTATGGAAAACGCTAACAACTACTTTTAAGGCTATTTAGTCAACAATTTAATTAAAAAATGTCATATACCAACACACCTTTAGTAGAATTTTTTTTATTTATTAATTCTTTATAAGTATTCTTATGATACTCTTACAAAACCGATATTATTTTAAATTTTAAATTAATCATTATTTATTTTGTATTTCATTTAATTTAACAAAAAAATTATTAATAATTATAACAATTAATTTCATAAAATTTATGAAAATTAAAAGTAGTCACATTACATATCTTTAATAATTTATTTTAAAATTTTAATAATGCATGTGCAATATACGAAAAAATGACTTAATATAACTTAGAAAAGCACCTTCCTAGGTGAGTCCCTTATTCATTAGTGTTCAAAATAAATTACAAGTGAACTCAAAAATAGACTTTAAAGTGAAAAAGAAATATAAGAGTTGACAACTAGTCACGCGGAGCATTAAACTCGAATAAATATAAACTACATAAGCTTTACATGACACTCAATCGAGTGACATAATGTGATCTAGAATAGTTTGCCTTGTTGGGTTCCACTCCTCATCATTGTACAAAATTCTTCATAGTTGATTCTACCATCCTGAGAAACCACAAAATGTAACATTAATTGTGGAACTAGAATACCAACTTGTACCACGACAATAGAACATAGGCTTACATTATCTGTGTCAACTTCAGATATAATCTCCTTGATTGTAGCTTCATCACCCATCCCATACTCCTTCATGGCTGTTTCCAATTCATCTTTTGTAATATACCTGTGATTAACCAAACAAAAGCCAGGGTAGATTTGGCATTCATTACTCCTGAAATCCTAATAAGTAGAGCTAGCATTCATTAATGATTTTGCAACGAATGTGCTTCTTGGTGTAGGTAGACATGGATTTCTGGTAATGTTGTTCATTTTAAGAGGAATGCTAGCAAAATATTATCTGATATTATGTTTTTAACACACTTTTAATTATCAATTAAAATTGATTAGAAACTACAAAAGTATAAGTGAGAATTATTAAATTAGGAATGAGAATCATATAATTAAGAGGGGAACTTCCATGCCTTTTGTGATCTATAATAAAGTTTAGCAAATAACTAAGATTGCATCAGAGAGTGAGAGTTAAAGAGTATTGCCAGCATTTCTCTTATTGATAAAAACTAAAACATGCATAAAACTTGGTTGATTTGATAGACATGAAAAACAAACTTCAGACATTAAACCAAATAGCCCAAAAGATTCGTATGGATGGCTTAGACTTTAAAATCAAAAGCAACTGAAGTTGAGAATGCAGCACGCTAGGGGGAAAATTAACTAATTACTTCCATAGATGGACTTACCCGCTTCCATCTTTATCAAAATATTGGAAGGCCTTGTAAAGATGCTCATCTCTTTCCAACCTGTATCTATGCATTGTAGCAGTGATGAATTCTATGTAGTCAATTGTGCCATTTCCATCTACATCAGCCTAATTGTAAGCGAAGGGAATGTAAGTTTGGAGGAATATAGAAAGAACAGCAGAGAACAAATCTTGTAAATTCAACAATAGCTTACGGCTTCCATAAGCTGCTTCACTTCAGCTTCAGTAAGCTTTGAGCCAAGTCTTTGCAATCCTGCCTTCAGTTCCTCATAGGTGATTGTACCACTTTTGTCAGTGTCCATATTTGTAAACATTGCCTTCAAACCTTGGATCTCTTCTTCAGAAAGATTTTCAGCAATGACCTAAAAGATTATTTAAATCCACACTGTTTTATTGAGTTATCATGAGAACACTATTTTGCCTCTCAATGTGTAATTATTGAATGAAGCAAACATGGGCTTAAAATTAGATTTTTACTAACTTCAGAAGTTGATCCATAGACACAAAGGTACCATGTATGCCACCAAATACAATAAGCATTAAAGAGCATTGTGGTTTTTTTTAGTACCTTGAGGGCAAGTTTTTTTAGTTTATTCATTGCTCTGAATTGCTTCATTCTGGAAAGCACTGCACTGTCTATTGGTTTGTCAGAAGCATTTCCACCTTCTTTAAGCCATGGGTGCTCTGATCATTCATACAATAAAGGGATTCAATCAGTGATATACATTTTTTCTATTAAAAACACAATATCCTGTAAATAAATGACATTTTTAAAGGAAAGATAGCAGAAGAAACAACATATTTGTAAACATATCATCTTTGAATAGTCTCAACAACTATCATGTTCACATGCAACATTGGCTGGTGTTGATACATTTATAGGGGCATAGAATATTTTATACAGCTGGGAAAAAACATGGTCGATAAGTTCTTAAGCCCTGAATTGAGGTTTTAAATACAGTACTATTAACTGTAACACCTAGAACTCATTAGGACTTAGGATAGAAGTAAAGGGAAGATTAGTTGGGGACAATTAGAGTAGTCAGTTAGAGGAGTTCAATTAGATATATAGGAGTAAAAAGGGTGAAAGGATTCATTCAGAGAATTAGCAAGTTTGAAAGAAAGGGGAAACTCCTAGAGTTGAATTCTTTCTCCATGATTCTATTCATTATCATCAATAAAATCATTATTTGGTTCCTAATAGAACTGGACCCTCTAGTGATCTATCTTCTCAATCTCACCCAAGTACACACATAAAAGGACCAAGTGGGAAAGAAAGTCAAACTACCAAACACTACTCGGATAAAGTTTAATAAATTTCAGTGAGAAGAAAACACAATAAAAATTACCTACCTAGAACCTGAGCAGAAGTAATGCGTTTCTTTGGATCCTTTATAAGCATCTTGCGAACAAGGTCCTTAGCACTGTTTGATATGCTTGGCCATGGATGACTTTCAAAATCAATATGACCTTGCAATATGGCATTAAATATTCCTTTTTCGGTCTCTGTACCACATATTATGAAAACATTAGTAAAGTGGAAACATGGGGTGGAAAAAACGCTAGCCTCTAATACAAGGTGATTATCCTACTATCTACATATGTCAAAGTCAAGAGTTTACCTGCCCAGAATGGAGGTACACCACTAAGTAAGATATATAATATAACTCCTGCACTCCATATATCTATTTCCTTCCCATAGCTACGACCTAGAACTTCCGGAGCAACATAGTAAGCACTGCCAACTATCTCTCGATACACCTTTCCTGGGAAGAATTAATCAGAAAAAATATTATTATATGTTCTAAGTGGAAAACAATCCTACCTTTTAATCAGATGACTCCTCTAATATAAAAAAAATCACCAACCTTCGATTCAAATTAAAGTACTTCATAAACTTAATTCACTCTAAATTAACACAGGATAAACCCTTTACACAAACTGTTACTTCACAATTTCCATCGCCATAATCACAGAAAAAATAACTCATAAATCATGGCACAAACTGAGTATCAAGACATCCATCAGAGAAAAAAGCAGAGTTACTGAAATGTGATAAGTTGTAGCCATACACATGAACAAGAAAATTGATACGAAGGTTTATAAAAAAAAGTCAAGTATTGGTAAGGCACTATTAGAACTTGGTAGTAACAGAAAATTAATATATTCAACTTTCCAGGATTTTTTCAGAAAAACTCCCATTCCCACAAAAACAAATAAAATATGGTAGAAGTTTTGGATAGAAAATTTCCCTCAAACTTTAGCAGCTTATCCACAACCATACAACAATTTCACATAATTTTCTCTCTAGAATTAACAACTACTAGGAAAAGACAAATATATGGATAATAAATTTACCTTCTTCAATGAAGACTGACAAGCCAAAATCTGTGGCCTTGAGAAGTGCCTTTTCATCCTTACTAGATAACAAGAAATTCTCTGGCTTCAAATCCCTATGCATCACCCCCATGAAATGACAAATGTGAACAACATTAACAATTTGTCTACATATTGAAGCTGCAGCTCTTTCACTATAGTGTCCCTTGGCAATAATCCTATCAAAAAGTTCACCACCCGCACACAGCTCCATAACAACATGAACTGAGTGCTTATCTTCATAAGCACCTTTGAACTCCACAATGTTAGGTTGTCCACTCAAATGCTGCATAATTTGAATCTCCCTCTTTATGTCCTCCCTATCAGATTTGCTAACAAGCTTCCTCTTTGAAATGGACTTGCAAGCATATTGCAAGCCAGTTGAATTCTCAGTACAAAGATAAGTCACTCCAAATTGGCCTCTACCCAATTCCTTCCCAAGTGTATATAACTTTCTAACATCCTCAAAAGGTTTCCCAGTAATTGTGTCTGATTTGAGAACAGGTTTTGGACTTGGAGCAAGAACAGTGGGATTCCAAGGTGCTTGAGGTGCTGCAGCAGCATGTTTCTCTGGTAATTTGTAAGGTTGATGAGAAGGAACATTTGATTGGTTCTCATGAGTCTTGTGATCGTGCACACCACCATGCCTGTGACCAATGTGTTCTGGCTCTGATCCTTTTTTACTTACACAACAACCCATGATTACAAAAAAAAGAGATTTTTACGAGGTATCACACGACTACTTGAAAGTGATTAATTCAAAGCATGAAAAAGGAATGAACCCAGATGAGAATTCAAGAAGGCTATGCAAATTGATGACTATTCCACAAAGCTTTGAATCAGAAAAAACGAGAGGTCAAGGGAAGAATATGCATTAAAATGTGAAGAGAGAAAGGAGAAGCAGCCAAAGTATAACACTTGGATGCAGAAGGGATGAAAGTTTGTCGTTTTTTAAAGGAAAGAGTCTGAACTCTGAAAGAAAGAGGATCAAGGAAAGGAAGAAACCGAGTCAACTGTGTTATTTGAATTTAAATTAGTTAAATAAAAAGGTGAAATTATTGACATAAATTCTTATTAAAAATTATAAAATTTAATTTTTTACCATATATAATATATTACATAAATTAAAAAAATTATATTTTTACATTCAACATGAACGAAGTTAAGAAAGATGAAAAATATAGATATATAAACATAATAAATGACATAATAAAAAATAAAAAGGTAAAAGAAAATACTATTTATTTATTTACAGTCAAAACAAGGTTCATATAATAGAAGCTTCCTTTCTTAGAGGGACACCTGCTCTCTGCTTATGATTCATACACCGAATCAGAATCGGAGATGCGTATCCCACACCACATTTTCTCTTGCTTCCTTCATGACATGGTGCCACCTAATCAACTTTATTAAGGAAACCAGTACTAAATTTTTTTATCTCAGATAAGCTTCGCATGTAAGATACTAAGAATCATTGTCGTGTCTGTTCATGTACATCTAATCATCACTCTCATTAATTAGAGAGTGATTAAGTAATTATAAAAAATTATTAGAATTTATCTACATTTATGATATAAATTAAAAATATATTTACTTGTTATTAATTTGGTTTGAATTTAATAACTATTCAATTAATGAATCATAAATCAATATATTTATGAATTGAATGATTAGTTTAATTTGAAAAACATTGGTGGAGACTGGAGATGAACCAAATGGAATCGTTGAAGAAAAAATGAAATGGGACCCATATGACATGTATATGATAAAGCATGGACACGTACGTTGACGCTGAAGCAAGATAAAGTATACACGTGCCACTCATTACGTAAGTGCACCTTAACAAACATTGGCAATTCCACCATTTTTGTTTCATTTTCCTCTGCACACTGAATCATACCCTTTCTGGTCAATTTCTCACATTCCATCATTCTATGTCCTAATTTAATTTTCTTATCCTCCAATCTTCAAAATGTTGCATGAATTTTATGACAATGATTTTTCTTTTAATTTTACAATAAAAATAAGGATACAATTGTGACTATCATAATTAGAAAACAATTACTATGTCATGGTTTCTTCTAGTCAGATTCTTAACAAAAGAATAATATCTTTATGATACTTCTTTTATTAAAAGGGTATTGAATCAATAACTAAAAAAAATTAAAAAAAAAAAACTGAATTAATAGCTGTGTTGTGATGCTTACCAATAATTCTCTCTGGTAGAGACAAGAAAGGAGCTCCTTCATCTTTAGGGTTGGGTTTTGAAGGGTAAAAGAGGGGAAAACAAATATTTTATTTTAAATTAAAAATATAAATGATTTTTATAAAAATAAATAGTTAATTAACAAATTAATTTTATTTAAAAAATTTAAATTAAATACAAAAAATTATCACTCACTTTCTTCTCTTTTAAAATCGAACTGCCAAATATATCCTCAGTTTACATTCAGATCAAAACAAGGCCCTCAAACAGGGAACACGTTTTTGGGTAAAGAAAAATGGAGAGCCTTTTTTTTTCTCTGCAAAGATGATATTGCTTTTATCTCTTTTGTGACAATAAAGCTATTGTTTAAGTTCTTGACGCTTCACAAGAACTTGGCTTTCAAGTTATAGTAATTATCTTTTGGAGCTCGCTTGGCTAGTTGAGTGCTTCATTTGCTAAAGCAACCTTTCTTTTTACAAGATGTCGATTTTGTTTTGTTCTGATTTTGGTTGGATGAATACTTAAGAGTCTTAGAACATGTGGAGATAATATTTTTAGAAAAAATAACTTCTTATTTTCTAAAACTTCATAAAGAATACAAAAACAAATTATATATTATTTCCTCAACGATAGATACTTATGTTATTATTTATGTAAGTGAAGACAAGTAGGAGGCATTATCCATGAATAAATCCAAATGGGCATGTTTAATTAGTAGTAAAATCACTATATAGAGTGGGAGTTACTATAATTAATTAAAGGGGTGTTGGTGTTGCATTTTTCCCTCGTCAATCTTTTAACAGAACTTTTGCTAGCTATGGGGGCATAATTAAGTTCACATCTCACCTATTATTTTGATAACTTTCAGAAGTTTGCTATCATATTTTGATTGTAATTATCAACATAGATGAACAAGCATTAAGATTTAAGAGCAAAGTTATATTGGTGTGAAAAAAGATGGGGTGCAAGGAAGTATATTTTGTCATATACACAAATTACCAAAACATATTTAATTTCAAATGGGATTCAAGGGGATCATAGTTTTTCAACTTGTCCTCCATCTACCACATGTGATATGATGCACTTGTTAGGTTCTTAAAATAACACCATATAATCATTAAAGTTCAGCTGGGCTCATCCACAATATTATTTTGCCCCCACCATAAGCAATTATTGTATTTGGGTTTAGTCTAAAGAAACCAAGTCAAAATCAGCCACATTAATCACACACGTTTTTTTCTTTCATTTCTTTTGCATTATTTAAAGATATCTTTTGAGAACTTTTATTCACCCATTAATTTAAATAATTTTTTTATTTATCTTTATCATATGAGTTATTTTATTTTACATCTATTTCTTATTTTATCTTTTTTTTATACAAAATTTTGTACCAATATAATTTGTTTTACGATTTTTTAACATGTAACACACAATAAAAAATTATAATTTTTATTAAAAATTATAAGATATTATAGAATTAATGTATTAATATTATTAAATATTATAAATTTTAATAAAAAATTATTACTTAATAATTTTTTAATATATATCACTGAATGCACGTTAAAAAGAATCAGTTTTCATGCAACTAAAGTATTTAGCTACTTACATGTGAAAAAGCATGTGACGCATTCATCCAAAAAAGCATAGGACACAAACACTTAATCTTGTGCAGAGGGACCACTTACTAAAGATAGGTAAAGAATTAATAATTTTCAAACATTTTATACACTTTTTATTATATATTTTTTTATTGTTATGTAATTTTACATAATAATTCAAGTAAACTCTTAAGTAAGTGAAAATTCACACAAAATTCATACAATAAAAAAAATAAAGATGTTTACGTGGAACAAATTATACTTATGTTCCAAATGACTCTAATTTCCTTTATTGGGTCAAATCTTTAAACTAATCTAACCCTAAATTTAAATAAAGTTGATAATGTTTGATCTAATTAAGTAAGATAAAATTTCAAATTTCATGGTGAATATTAAAACTTCGTTAGCAGACGATTTATAAATACTTTTGTAAATGTTCTTTAAACATGAAAATATGTGTTGACAACTGATAAATCTCTTCAACCCAACTCACTTCAACTTTTTAATGATTAAAAATAAAATAAAAAAATAAATTAGACAATCCTAATTTATATAATTAATTAGGCTTGGTTGAACCAAACTGAGCTCTGCACACCCATTCCTTAAAAGTGCACTATGAAATTATGAATGTTCAAATAAAGTAATTATGCACTTTTTGTATTTATTTTATCTTTTCTATTTTTTTCTATCATATAGTTTATTTGATATTTCTTTCACCCATTTCACACCGCAGGGGTTAACAAAACATTTTCCCCCAGACATATATGTGATTATTATTTTGAGGAGATTTAGACGAAATTAATAAAAATAACGAAATTGGATGCCAAGAAACCAACAATTAATGTGTTTCTACCTTTAATTTTGTGAAGAGAGAAAGGTTGAGGTAGGAGAAGGATGGATGATATTTTCCTAAAATACAAGATTCAAACTTGTTCTCGTGAACCCTATCTCTGTCACTTAACATGACTTATTGTATGTATATGGATCATTATGTTAGGACCATCAAAACTTTACATTTCAACTATGCATGCAAAAGGCCCAAAACAATCTTTTATGCAATTTACCATACCTAGTGTAGAAATTCACCAAATGGTATTGAATGTTTGAAACTATAATTAATCACAAACTTCTCGAACTAGATATAGGCCTGTAACCAGGAAAATAAATATATACGGTCAAGAAATATAAGTTAACAATTAATAACATGTTTAATTTCACATTAGAAAATAAGTAGACACACATTTATTTTAACACTACTAAGTATAACTCACACATGCCATATGTCTCTCATCTTGGCATTACTTGACTAGTTGTTTGGGCAGTTAAAGATAGATTAACATAAATAATCTCTTCTCAGAAAAGGGAAAACAACTTTTAAAGAACATGATGTCGAAAGAGAATTGAAGAGTATAGAAAATGAAATTTAGTGCAACCTACGCATTAATGTTATTATTAACATAGGACTAACCAGCACAGTAGTTAGCCTAATTAACCAGCTTTGCCATGTAAAGGTGATCGTATTTGGGGCATACGCGGAGGTTTCTCGTTCCTAGAGTACCTGAAGGGAGCCTCATCTATGATGCTAAGTTTGGCTTCAGTAATCACACTATGTGTGCAGAAAAAGGTGACAAAAAAGCGTAGTGATAATCATAAACTCACCTTCTTGGCCTAAATGCTATGATGATGGTTCGATCTGATCCTCAATTGATGAAAATTGCTAATTGCTTATTTGTGCAGTGATTAGCAACTTTTGGTGTTCCATGGCTAACAGATCCAGGCACCCCATTTTCGAATTTAGTTTATATAATTTTAAAGTCTTCTTTAAGCTTTAGAAACATAATAAGAAAATCCATCTATCTCAGTTTGGTAACAGCTACAAAGTCAATGGAAATAGGTGTTAGGTGTGTTTATTTAAAAGCTTATATAATAAATTCATTTTAAACAACAATTTATACTATAAATTAAACGATATATTTTATTAAATATAAACTGAAAATAATCTATTTTAAGAAACTATATAAAAAAACTTATTGTCCATAAGTTGGAAAAAACGTTTACAAGAGTCCCATAAATCAACTATCCCAAAAGATTAAGCTGTGTACTTGAAGACACGTGAATAGCTTAATATCTAGCTAGGTTGCATTCATCTTGTACATAATTTCAATGTCAATTTCACACCTTGAATGAACCCA